TAATAGATTTTGTTCAAAGTATACCTTGTGAGGTATCATTTGAAAAATGAATAATCTGCTGATTATTATTGTCCTGGTAAAATATGTGTGGCAACATTGAAAAGTTGTAAAATTCTACTGTATAACATTACTGAGGCATGTTCCAAGTTTAGAAAAGCAGGCACAAACCAGCTCCTCAAAGACAAAAGGCAAACTGACGCCTCAGCCCGATTTCAACAAAATCAAATAGACTATTATCACCAGGTTATGCCGCCATTCTTTGGCAGGAAAAAGAGTGTGAGCAAGGAATTTACATTTTGGCAAAGAAACAGATGGAGGTTCCCATCCTCCCAGACCTCTGTCTCCTGGACCCCAGATGGAGATGATTTTTGAAGAAAAGGAGAGCTATAAGAAAGGGGGACAGATGCCCCAAGATCTCTCTCCCTTCATCGCTACTCACGGCATCGACAACACTTGAAGGAGAAAGGAAGCATCACTGGACTAGGGAGGGATCCTGGCTGAAAGGACTTCAGCCAGTCAGATTGGTACAGCATGTGGTGAGAGAAACTTTTGCTTTGTAATTACTTAGCTTGTTAAGTTTGCATTGGATGCATTTTACCTTTTATTTCTTGGTAACCAATTCTAACTTTTATGCCTCATTACTTGTAATCACTTAAAATCTGTCTTTCTGTAGTTAATAAACTTGTTTTATTGTTTTATCTAACCAGTGTGTTTGGATTGAAGTGTTTGGGAAACTCCATTTGGGATAAATTGAATTTGTGCACATCATTTTCTATTAATGAAATGACGGACTTTCTATGAGCTTGTGTTATCCAAGGGTGTGCTGGGCAGTACAAGATGTACATTTCTGGGAAAACCCTGGGACTGGGAGTTTGCTGGTGCTGCCCTGCAGTGTAATTCAAGAGTGGCTGGTTGGCTATAGCACTCATACAGTATAGCTGGGAGTGATTTACATGCTGGAGGCTGTGTGTGAGCAGACCAGAGATGGTTGCTCTCACAGCGAAGCAGTGTAAAAGGCACCCCAAGTTGGAGAACTGAGGGGACACAGTTGTCCAGCAGTCCAGACTGTACCCTGGGGAATGTCACAATTACCTCACCCACCTTGTCTCTAATATCCTGGGATCAAGACGGCTACAACTAGACTACATACAACAGTGGGTTACCTAGGGCAGTTTCTCACCCTGTGGGTGGAATCTTCAAGTGGGTCTTACCTCACTGACAGAGAACAAAATTCTGCAAAATCGCCAGGTCACTAGAACACAGCAGGAGGGAAGAGAGGTCAGGACAGGAGCATCTCATTCCCTTCCCCTCCTCCTGCTGCTGCTGCTTCCCCACCTCTGCTTTGTCCCCTACTTCCTACAAACTCCAGCAATGGGAAGATCTCTCTTTCCCCACTTCTCCAGCCCAGACAGTGCTCAACTCTGGGGCAGAGGAAGAGCTGTTCTAGAGGCTGTGGTGCCCACACTGCAGTCTCTGGATGCAGTACCTTTGTGGAGCGGAATGCCTTGTAGGTTAGGTTAGGGAGATGAGATGGGGGAAGAGGGGGAGAAAAATATCCCCAACACACCAGCCACCAACCCTCACAAGCACTATACCCCTCATCTTTTCCATCACCCACTCTACAATGCCCCCCGCCATTGTTTCTTCTCGTGACCCAAATCACACAATCCTGTGCAAAAGGGTCGTGGCATGATCTGGAGTCATTTCACGGGTGACAGAGCTAAAGAGGCTGAGACTCACTGCTCTTTGAAAAGCCATCAGCATACGTCTTGCCTACAATGGCCTAATCTGCATATGCAATCATAGTAATTGCACATGCACATTACCTATTGGACTGGAAACATTGTGTGTGAACTGTTTGCTTAATTTGTTTAAAAATCAGATTCTCGTGCTTGATAAAAATCATTTTATGTGCCATTGAAATGCAGCCACCTTGAAGTAGAACATAACAGTCTTCAGACAACCTATAGCATCTGTACACAGCACTTTGGAAAAGGAAGTGAGGAAGCCAGTTTCTAAATGGCAACTGCAGGGGGAATTTGGGGAGGCAGACTGTATCTACCCAAGTTGGAGTTAATATCCCCTGCCCTTGGGAAAGATATCAGGAGATCTTTGATAATCAGGACCATGGTTTTCGGTCTTTTCTGAATGAGAATATGTGATTGAATGTGTGTAAGCAAGTGCGTGAAAGGAGGGCTACAAGTTCAACAATAAAAAGAAGAAGAATGCAGCATTTACCGTGTGTGCATGTGCGCTGCCTCCCCCAGTCGCTCCAGGGACTGAACCAGTTCCAGAATAAGGAAGATGGGGCTAGAGTTTGTTCCAGTAATCCCCATCCTCATGTAAACCAGTGATCTGAATGAGCTCTCCCGTGCCATCTATTGATTAACTGGAGCACAAGACCCCAGGAGCAGACTGTAATTGCCTAGACACACCTACTTTGCGTAGGTGATCAACAGACATCTCTGCTTTGCCAAAGTGATCAATTTTGACCGTTTTGGGTTAAAACTAACTTCAGTATTGGATGCAGAGCTAGCGAACTGTTGTTATCCTTACTGTATGACTAAAGTGCAGCAGAACTGTACTCAGTATGTCCTAATTGAGGGTGGTCACCCTAATTGTAACGTCACTCACTAAGGGTGTGTGGGTGAGAGAGCGCGCAAGATGCTGCCAAATACAAATAAAAGTGTGGGGAGGGGGAGACTCCACTGAAATTATCTATGTGCCATGTGACCCTTCTTCTCCAGTGTTTAAAGACAGAGCTGGTTAGACTCAACTGAGAGTCCTTGTGTCTTCTCAAGGATGACCAGAGCTGCGATCACTAGTAAGCTGGGCTAGGGGGCTAAGCCTTAGACCTGGTGTGGGTGAGGTTCCCCACTAGCCAAGGAAATCACTGAGAGCTGAAATCACAAAGGGCTGGGCCAGGTGGTGGAACCTCAGAAAACAGCAACATAGCTAAAAGGGCAGCGGCAGCGATAAGCAGCTGCAGCGGGCGGCGAGTGATGAGCAGCAACAGACGCAGAGGTAATGCTCCAGCCCCACCCCCTCGGGGGCAGGAAGTGAACCCCCCTGAATGCAGCCCCGGACTCTGGGACTTCGCTGACCTCAGACAACAAACTGAGTGTGGTACAGTGAGTGAAAGGGGGAGGGGCACATTAAAGGGGCATTCATCTATTGGACTTTCACACCACAAGATGGGAAACTTAAGGCAAAGGACACTGCCAGAGATACGGTAGGGTGGGTGTTTATAGAGCCCTTCAAATCCACGGATATCCGCTTTATATCTGCAGATATCTGCATCGGCGGACCATTTTTGCGGATCGCGGATCAGATGTGGATACAAATTTTGTATCTAGAGCCCTCCAAATCCATGGATATCCGCTTTATATCCACAGATTATTTCTGAGTCTCACCGAACAGATGCAGATACACACAGGTGTAATAATAATAGGATGGAGTAATAATAATAGGATGAGATTTAATAGTGAGAAGTGTAAGGTGATGCATTTAGGGATGACTAACAAGAATTTTAGTTATAAGCTGGGGACGCATCGGTTAGAAGTGACGGAGGAGGAGAAGGACCTCGGAGTCCTGGTTGATCGCAGGATGACTATGAGCCGGCAATGTGACGCGGCTGTTAAAAAAGCTAATGCGATCTTGGGATGCATTAGGCGAGGTATTTCTAGTAGGGGCAAGGAGGTGCTGCTTCCGTTATACAAGGCGCTGGTGAGACCTCATTTGGAGTACTGTGTGCAGTTCTGGTCTCCCATGTTTAAAAAGGATGAATACAAACTGGAACAGGTACAGAGAAGGGCCACTAGGATGATCCGAGGAATGGAAAACCTTTCCTATGAAAGGAGACTCGAGGAGCTCGGTTTGTTTAGCCTAACCAAAAGAAGGCTGAGGGGGGATATGATTGCTCTCTTTAAATACATCAAAGGGATAAATACCAGGGAGGGAGAGGAATTATTTTAGCTCAGTACTAATGTGGACACGAGAACGAATGGATATAAACTGGCCGTGGGGAAGTTTAGGCTTGAAATTAGACGAAGGTTTCTAACCGTCAGAGGGGTGAAATTTTGGAACAGCCTTCCGAGGGAAACGGTGGGGGCGAAAGACCTCTCTGGCTTCAAGATTAGGCTAGATAAGTTTATGGAGGGAATGGTTTAATGGGATAACGTGATTTTAGTCAATTAGGTAATAAAGTGCCATCGCTGGTAAAATGTGGGTCTGGCTAGAGAATCTTGCCTGTATGCTCGGGGTTCTACTGATCGCCATATTTGGGGTCGGGAAGGAATTTTCCTCCAGGGTAGATTGGCAGAGGCCCTGGAGGTTTTTCGCCTTCCTCCGCAGCATTGGGCAGGGGTCGCAAGCTGGAGGATTCTCTGCGACTTGAAGTCTTTAAATCACGATCTGGAGACTTCAACAGCTGAGCTAAGGGAAAGTGGGTGGGTCAGCTTTTGTGGCCTGCATCATGCGGGAGGTCAGACTAGATGACCATAATGGTCCCTTCTGACCTTTAAGTCTATGAGTCTATGAGGTGTTTACTTACTGTTTGCATCTAGGTGTTTACTTACTGTTTGCATCATTTTGAATTATTGTTTTTGTTAATACGGTGTTCCTTCTCCTCTTAGTACAAGTTTTCTCTTGTTCTATACAGAGTCAGTGCTTGCCAGTGGGGAAGTATTGCCTCATAGAGGTGCCATGGGCTGGTGTTTAGTTTTCCCAGGTTTCTGGATTGTGGCTCAAGTTGGCTTAGTTTGTAATGTTAAGAGGAACTCCGAGATATTGAACCAGGCTCTTGTGGCTGCCGACTCCACATGGCAGAAGGGTTACACCCGCATGTGACTAGAAAATGGTCGACACAGACTCCCCTTCTTCGCTGGGCACACACCTATGCTTTATCTACTAATACTCTTTCCCAGTGCTCTCTAAAACAAGACTGCCCCGAGGCACTTCTCCGTCATCAACAAAGGGGGGATGGCCTCACACTCTCCTACCTGGAACGCTGTCTGGCTGTTGTAGTTCCGAATCTCTTTGCTTGCACCACGGAACAGGAGGACCCGGGCACAACTCTCCTAGGAGAAGAAAACCAGAGAAGAAAGAAGGAAATTATTAGCACTGATATGAGGGAAGAGGTGACCTTGGTTCATTCAGGCGTAGAGAGCTCCCTATTGCAAGGGAGAGAAATAAGGTAATAATGTCAGAATTCACTTTTACAGCCTTAGATCAAGTCTCTCTAATTCCACCTCTCCTGACCCCATCACGGCTTCAGGGGAACTGCCCTCCTGCCCACCCACAACCCAGTCAAGCTCCATTCCTCCAAATACTCGCTTAGCATTCAGGGGCACAGCGGCTGGAAGTGTTCCCATCATACACTGTGCCTTGGGGGGTGCTGTTCCCCATAATCTGGACATGTTCCATCCCTTTCTACCTCTTTGGGGGGTGCTGTGCTTCTGTCAAAACACAGCAAAGTTTAGGTGATATTGTGGTGTTGAAGCCAATGTTCTTCCATCCCTCCCATAAAGGCTTACGTTCCCTGGGGACAGACCCCTGGACAGACCAGTCTCCCAGCTGTGGAGTTAATGCAGCTGCCACCCCACAAGCTATAAATCATCTGTAATGTATCACTGTCTGTTTAATAAGAAATAAACACAGCATATCATTTCTTGTGCCTGGGGTCTTTCAGCCACCTAAACAGAGGAAACTGAAAACTCCATTTACAAAAAAAGGAACAGAATCTTGGGGAAACCCAATTCTAAACCTACACAGCCCAGAAGAACAACCAGGGGAGGCTGGTCCTGATGGAGCGGCTTTGCTGCTCCCTCTAGGGAGTTCCCCCACCAGGCCCGTGTGCGGTCAGCGCTGGGATCACATTCATGTTCTCCCCAAAGCAGCTGGGACAGCAAGAGGAACGGGTGACACACACTGTGTAGGCAGGAAGGCAAGACAGCATTGCGACAATCTTCCCTGATAAGCTTTGTGCTCTCTTAGCAGCAGCAGGCTCTCTGGCCACATGCTGCAAGTCTTGTTCTCTCCAGCTGAGGAAAGGGCATTGTTCAGGTCAGATGAGACAGAGACATACGGTGGATGTTATCAGCATACTGTCCATAATTAACTAGATTTTCAGTTTTCAAAGGGGTAGCAGTGTTAGTCTGCATCAGTAAAAACAACAAGGTTTTCAGTGTCAAGCGATGACTTCTTGAGTAAAGGCTGCACTATTGCTTCCTTCAGGGCAATGTGTAGCCTGCTCTCTCTAATCTCCACAAGCCAGGGGCCCATCACTTTCCCACCGGCCTTCACCAGCCAGCAGGGGCATGGATCCAGAGCACAAGCTGTGGGATGAAGTTCTCCCAACACTTCCAGTTCCTCAGTGAGCATCACAGCTGGGACTCTAGCAGAGAAGACAAGGCTCTTGTTCCCTGAAGACCCTGCTCTGCCACCCCAGAAGCTGACAGCCCATCCCTAATCTGATCAGTTCTGTCCCCAAAACAAAAAGTAATTTCCTCACACAGGGAGAGACTCAGACCAGCTACCGAACTGAGACAGTCCAGAGTTACCAGAGTATCTTGTACGACATACTGGCACAATGTAAGAGTTTAAAAAAATCTTTATGCTGTAACTGATTGACATGAGACTTCCACCACTAGTGCTCTGACCATGTTCCCACTCACTTCATTTACTGAAGATCATCCATAAGCCAGGGTGACCTTTGAGAATAAAGCCAGCAAAGAGGGTGCCTAGGGCCACCTTATCAATGGTAGAGGAAAAAGAGTATTACAGTGTCCTACCAAAACACTGAAGGAATGGTCTGTCAGTGGAACAAGATTCTCCTAAGCTGTCTGGAACTTTTCTGGTTCCAATGATCTCCAAGGATGGAGGCCCCCTTTCTCAGTAGGAGAGATGAGCCCCAATCTCAAAGCGGAGGAGTACATGATCAGTCCATGGCACAGGTTAAGGTCTGGTTGCCTCCAATCCCAATTCAAAACTAGGTCCAACGTGTGGCTAGCTGTCTGGGTCAGACCAGTAAATACCTTGGATGTGCCTATGGTCATCATGGTGGCCAGGACATCTGGATGTGCAGTAGAAGATTCATCTTCATTCAGACTGAAGGGATCACTCAAACTCTGCGTTCCCATTGCCATTGTAATGAGGAATTCAGACTGCTGATGAAATGATTTGGCAATGCAGCAGAGCAAGCAGTGCCCAGTCCCATCTTAATCCCACGTCAAGATCCACATACTGCCTGGACACCCTGCCAGACCCAATTTTAGACAGGGAGATTTTCTGCACTGTAGGCTAGATACATTCCGCACAGCCACACCTCCTCCCTGCTGATTTCCTCTGGGTTCATGAGGTACCTGACACCTGTGCCAGGACCGGCCCCGCCACGCCCTCCATCCAGATTGTGGCCATGCACAGGAAGCCAGGGGTGTTATCTTTTATTAAACTACAGACAGCTGATGTTTTATTTTCCCCTGACTAAGCATTAATCATCATGAACCAAAGGCCAGCAGCCTTGTCTCCCAACAACGCCCCCTCTTGAGAAGGTGAAACCAAAGGGGAAAAATTAAACATCCTGCTCCTGGTTTACACAGTCTCCTTACCTATTTATTACCATGTACCTCCTTTCTAACTACCACAGGGACTGAGGAATGCAACCGCCTGCAACCAGACCCCATCCTGGGTCTCCACATTCCCAGCGTATAGCAGCATTGTTCCATCTTCTCAGTCACTTAGCCTTAACCCACCAAAGGGACATAGCTGCTGTGGTTGAGTACCCAAAGAGTGACCCCCCCCAGGGCTCGCTGCAAGAGACATCTTAAACTAAAATCCCCTTCCTAACCTAGCACCCATTCACTAGCCAGCCACTGTGTCTCCCAGCTAAGACCCTCTCGTGGCCTATAATGCCATCCGTCTCAAAACAAACATTCCCCATATTACTCCAAGCATTGTGTCCTGCCCCTCCCTAGAACCGCACTGCCATGACAGCCAAAGGGAGAGGCACACAGCACAAGCACTGACTTCCATGGTCTTTGCACCCTACCCCACCAGTCTCACTCTCACAGAAACAGCAGAGGGAAGAATTCAAGACCGTCCCTACCCTTAACCCCAAGGGCCTCTCTCACTCATGGATTCACACCCTTTTATCTCCTCCTCTCAATTTTTAAGACTCACTCTCAGAAAGAAAGAAGACAGCACACAAATTGACGACACCTCCTGGCCTCTCACAGCACACACTGTCCCCGCATCTAATCCCACATCACCTACATCAGGCCTCCTCACCACATAGACTACCACAGGTACCACACCAGGGGATTCGCACTTAAATAATTTCCCACCCTGCTGGCCTCTGGCTCCGGCAGGAGAAACGCCTGAAATATAACATATTACTTGTCCCCCACTTGGGCCCCTCTAAATAAATGATGGATTGTTAACGCCATTTAAAAGACAAAACAACAAAGAAACCATCACTCAGGAGGCCTGAAGCTGTGTGTGCTTGGCCTGGCTGTGAAGAGTCCCCCAAAAGTCGTTGCTGCTGGTGGTGCAGGGGCGGTGCCAGGCCACAATGCAGACACTGCCTCCTCCTGGCAGGGTCCCTGTGTCCCAGCATGCATCATTCCACCACAACCTGCCATGGTGCCTCAGCGAGAACCTCTGAGATTGCTCAGAGGACATCAGGCTCTTCCCCCAGGGAGGTCTCTCGGTATGTGAATATCTGAAAGAAGCTGCCATGTAAGGAAGGCAACTCGGGCCTAGTCTCCTGCCTCTGGCTCCCTCTAGCCATACACTCAGCCTGCCAATGAAGACTGCAGACACCCCGTAATATAAAACAGCGCTGAAGGGCAGGAAACAACTGCCAAACAACCTCCTCTCGGATGCCAACAGAAATTATCAATGGAAAGACCCTATTTCCGACTGATCCCTGCAAACCCCCATATTGCAGGACTGTTCCCTGCATTGTTAGTGGGCTCAACCCCCTTCCTTTGGGGGCTATCCTACATTCAAGCAGGTCTCACTGGCAGGAGCTTTTTCCTGATATCCACCCTTAAATTTACCCTTTCTTAATTTCAGCCATTTACTCCAAGCTACCCCCCTTGTAACAAAGTCAAAGATACCTCCCTCACTGATAGGTTTCAGAGTAGCAGCCGTGTTAGTCTGTATCCGCAAAAAGAACAGGAGTACTTGTGGCACCTTAGAGACTAACAAATTTATTAGAGCATAAGCTTTCGTGGGCTACAACCCACTCACTGATATTTACACACTTTGGATGGCTGCAGATTTATGTTTCCTCTACTGCTGTCAAGGGATTAAAAATAATTAATCACAATTAATCGCACTGTTAAACAATAATAGAATACCATTTATTTAAATATTTTGGATGTTTTCTACATTTTCAAATATATTTATTGCAATTATAACACAGAATACAAAGTGTACAGTGCTCACTTTATATTTATTTTTGATTACAAGTATTTGCACTGTAAAAAAACCAAATAGTATTTTTCAATTCACCTAATACACGTATTGTAGTGCAATCTCTTTATCATTGTAGCGGGCTGGTTACCCCACTCCTGCCTGGAAGGGCTTAAAACAGCCCTGGCAGAAGGCTGCAGCTCTAAAAGCTGGGCTGAGTGGGGAAGTAGCCACAGCTGGCCTGAATAAAAAGGCTGGGAGCCAGGAGCTCAGGGCAGAGTCTCTCTCTGCCTTTAGAGAGAGAAGGGCCTGGCTGCAGGGACCTGAGCAGAGTACCTGAGTGGAGCAGGGCTGGAGAAAGGCTGAGGAGCTGGGGAGCTCCAGCCTGGAAAGCCCCAGGCTGTGGCCTAGCATAAGGCCAACAGGTACTGGGGGTTGCAGAGGGCAGCCCAGGGCTAGGCCAAGGCAGCAGGTCCAACCCCCCCTTGCCAGTGATGAGTGGCATATACTGCAGTCTGCCCCAGGGAGCGGGGGCTAGTTGGTGACTGGCAGTGGCCTAGTACTGAGGCAAGGTGGGGATAGTGGGTGGGGGTTCCCCAGGGAGGGGAGACCCAGATCTGTGGGGTACTGCCAGGGGGCAGCACCCAGAGCAAAGGGCACCAGGGTCCTGGAAGGGACATGGGGCCAGAGGACAGGCAGACCACTGGCCTGCAGAGGGCGCTCCAGGATGCTGGAAGAGCTAATTCCCAGAGACGACCAGCAGGAGGCGCTGCAGGGGTGAGTCCGCTCCTCCACAATCATGAAAATTGAACTTACAAATGTAGAATTATGTACAAAAAAACTGATCAGTCCAACTTCTTGTTCAGCCAATCGCTCAGACAAACAGGTTTGTTTACATTGCAGGAGATAGCTGCCCACGTCTTGTTTACAAGCTCACCTGAAAGCGAGAACAGGCATTCTCGTGGCACTGTTGTAGCCAGCGTCACAAGATATTTACATGCCAGATGCGCTAAAGATTCATATGTCCCTTCATGCTTCAACCGCCATTCCCGGGGACATGCGTCCATGCTGACAATGGGTTCTGCTCAATAATAATCCAAAGCAGTGGGACCGATGCATGTCCATTTTCATTAACTGAGTCAGATGCCACCAGCAGAAGGTTGATTTTAGTTTTTTGGTGGTTCGGGTTCTGTAGTTTCCACATCTGAGTGTTGCTCTTTTAAGACTTCTGAAAGCATGCTCCACACCTCGTCCTTCTCAGATTTTGGAAGGCACCTCAGATTCTTAAACCTTGGGTCGAGTGCTATAGCTAGCTTTAGAAATCTCACATTGGTACCGTCTTTACATTTTGTGAAATCTGCAGTGAAAGTGTTCTTAAAATGTACTGGGTCATCATCCGAGACTGCTATAATATGAAATATATAGCAGAATACAGGTAAAACAGAGCAGGGGACATACAATTCTCCCTCAAGGAGTTCAGTCACAAATTTAATTAACACATTTTTTTTAACAAGCATCATCAGCATGGAAGTATGTCCTCTGGAATGGTGGCCGAAGCATGAAGGGGCATACGACTGTTTAGCATATCTGGCACATAAATACCTTGCAATGACAGCTACAAAAGTGCCATCCAAATGCCTGTTCTCACTTTCTGGTGACATTGTAAATAAGAAGAGGGCAGCATTATCTCCTGTAAATGTAAACAAACGTGTCTGTCTTAGCGATTGGCTGAACAAGAAGCAGGACTGAGTGGACTTTTTTTTGTTTTTGAATGCAATTATCTAACAAAAAAAATCTACATTTGTAAGTTGCACTTTCACAATGAAGAGATTGCACTACAGTACTTGTATGAAGTGAATTGAAAAATACTATTTCTTTTGTTTATCATTTTTACAGTGCAAATATTTGTAGTAAAAAAATCATATACGCTTTGATTTCAGTTACAACACAGAATACAATATATATGAAAATGTAGATAAACTTCCAAAATATTTAATAAATTTCAATTGGTATTCTATTGTTTAACAGTGCGATTAAAACTGTGATTAATTGCATTTAATTTTTTTTAATCACGATTAAGTTTTTTGAGTTAATCGCGTGAGTTAACTGCGATTAATCGACAGCCCTAGTTTCCTCACAACCTTTTGACAAACTAAAAGATTGAAACTCTGTATCATCTCTCCAGAGAATGAAGTCCCTCCAATCCTCCAAGCAGTTCACTTGCTATTCTATAGATTTTCTTTAGTTTATTGTATCTTTCTGGTACTGAGGGCCTCTAAACTGAATATAATATTCCAGATGTGGTGACACCAGAGCTATTTAGAAAGGAACTATCCCTTCCTGCTTTATGATGGAGGCCTCTACTCCTGCCGCTCTTTCACCATTCGTTTGGCATACCAGGGGTTTAACTATGAGCAGGTAAGGAAAAAGTCAGACAGAGTATCAGGAAACATTCCTTGGCAATGGTCTGTATTAGACAGTGGAATCATCTCCCCAAGGGAAGGGCTGGGAGATCTATCCCTTGAGGAATTTCAAATTAGACTGGACAACGTGTACAAACGGGTCAATCCTGCATTGGCCAAGGACAGAGAACTAAATTGGACCCAACAGCTCGTTTCCAGCTCTAGGTTTAGGAGTAACAGCAAGAGGATATATCCAAGCCTATGTAGTCTCTATCCCCATGTCCCCTCCCTGTTGGTCTGTGTGCCCCCTGCCCTGGTGACTACAGAGGTGTATCCCCTGTTCTGATGCCATGTGCCTCATGCCTCTCTCCTCACCTGATTATATAGAGCGCAAATATGGAGCGCCGTGTTTCCTGAGGCATTCTGTGAAGTCATGTCGGCTCCATAGAAGAGAAGATGCTCCAGGTGCTGCACATGGCCATAGCGACATGCCTACTCAAAAAGAAACAGAGAAACAATGAAACAGAGAAAAAGAGAGAGACGATAAGGAAGAACAAGAAAGTTTTGGACCCATTCACACAGATTTGAAAGTAATTTGGAAATGGCTTGTGAATACAGCCACATGGCAGGGTACAGAACATGCCAGGCCAAGCAAATCATAGCTATTCTGTTCTAAAACACCTTTCAGACTTTAACAAATGCCTTTCACCCTGCAGCGAAAGTCAGATCCATCCTCCTGTGGTCTTATCTTCACTAAACAATTACATCACAGAATCACAGAATCGAAGGAACCTTGAGATGTCATCTAGTCCAGTCCCTTGCATGTCACGGCAGGACTATTATCTAGACCATCCCTGACAGGTGTTTGTCTAATCTGCTTTTAAAAACTTCCAATGATGGAGATTCCACAACCTCTCTAGGCAACTTATTCCTAATGTCCAACCTAAACTGCCTTGCTACAATTTAAGCCCATTGCTTCTTGTCCTATTCTCAGAGGTTAACAAGAACAATTTTTTCCCCTCCTCCTTGTAACAACCTTTTATGTACTTGAAAACTGTTATGTTCCCCCATCAGTCTTCTCTTCTCCAGACTAAACAAACCCAATTCCTTCAAAAGTCACGTTTTCTAGACATTTAATCATTTTTGTTGCTCTTCTCTGGACTTTTTCCAACATGTTTACCTCTTTCCTGAAATATGGCACCCAGAACTGGACACTATACTCCATCTGAGGCCTAATCAGTGTGCAGCAGAGCAGAAGACTTACTTCTCATGTCTTGCTTACAAGACACGAGAAGTACACCTCTACCCCGATATAACGCTGTCCTTGGGAGCCAAAAAATCTTACCGCGTTATAGGTGAAACTGCATTATATTGCACTTGCTTTGATCCACCGGAGCGTGCAGCCCTGCCCCCAGGAGCGCTGCCTTACCACATTATATCCGAATTTGTGTTATATCGGGTCGCGTTATATGGGGGTAGAGGTGTAATTGGTCAATACAGAGATGTATAGAGAACGTACATCGAGGTAGAACATGTCCTTGAGGCGTCATGTTAACTAACACAAAACTGACCACAACTTTGTAGCCAGTGCGGTCAATGTTGCATCAGCTGCTCCTGGGTAAACCCCATCTATTCTAACAGTGTAATTTCCTAGGGAAGACAAGCCCTAAGATACAGAAGGGGAAGGACGACGACAGGAAGCCAGAATCTCTAGGTTACTGAGTAGTTTCTCCCTTCTAACTCTGGTCATTATAGTGATTCCAGACTTAGTGTCAGGGGCAACTGCAAAGAGCTGCAATGAAGACCACAGGATGGAGGCATCTCTGTATTGACTAATGCAGTAAAAAGCATCTTGTTTCTCATGCTAGCGACTGGTGTCCTGGCTGTCAGAAATGCCTGGGTATGGGGAGAACTCTCCTTTGGGGAAAACCCAAACCACTAACAACAGAAAAGCATTTATTGTGGGGGTGCCTAAACCATAACCTATTTTAAGAATACATTCACATGGACAACCATAAAATACAAGGCTCTAATCTAAGTGGCTTCCATGATGCCACTCTTCTAGACTCACCTGGTGGATTTCTTGCCAGCCATTCTCATCTACACAGCCCACCTTGGCATAGTCATGAAGCAGAAGCTCGCAGCAGTATGGGTCCCCTCCAACCATGGCACTGTGGTACAAAGGAGTTAATCCTCGGCTGTCCTTGTAATCCGGGGAGGCACCCAGGTCTAAGAGTGTCTGCAGGAAGAGTGAAAGATTCACTGGGGATTTCTCTGGGGTCTGAATGTTATCAAGATCAAGAACAACACAGTACAAAACCTGCAGGGGACGGGAGGGGATAGATGTCTCTAGCCCTAGCAGAGTGCAGGGCTCACTCCATCCCAGAGCTCACTTAACCAGCTTACAATTAGTTATAAACAGCTGTGCACTATGTGTTCCAGAGAGGTCTGAAGACAACATCCTGGCTGCAGAGAGCTTAGGTTCTACCCAGACCATACACAAAGGAGGGGAAGGGGGATTGCAGGAAAGCAGGGTAACTTAAGGAGAGGGCAGCATACATCTTGGGAGTAGTAGGAAAGTGGAAGGGACAGCAGTGCCCCAGATCTCCCCTTCCCAATCTGACCCCTTCAGGGCCAGGTGGCCCTGCCAGCACATCTCACCTTCCCCAGGACTCACCATCAGGGCAATGTGGTTCCGGCACCGGATAGCCTTATGAAGAGCTGTCATTCCCTCCCGAGTCCTGAAATCCAGATGGGCTCCTCCATTCTTCAGCGCTTTGATCACCTCGGCACTGTGCTCCAGCTGGGCTGCCATCGTCAGAGGGCATTCTGAAGCACCCACCCACCCAGGAAAGAGAAGAGGAACGTCTGAGAAACATAATGAAATACCTTTCTCCTCAGTTCCCTCTAGCTGACCACAGGTGTCTCCTGGGCAGTTCGGTAGAAGTACCCCATGCCCATTCTTTCACCCCAATGGTATCTAGTAGTTGGTCGCATCACTTTCCCTTTTAATGAGCTGTCTCCCTTCGAGTTCAGTCATATTCCCTGATCCCAGCTCTGCATGACGCTATATATCCCCTTCTTCTCCAGGGAGATAGCAAAGGGACACTTCACCTCCTCTCCCAGCCCAGCTGCACACAGCAGCAGCTGCACTGTTTCAAGATCCCTTGCCAGTAGGAAGCTGAACTAGGAGCTGACTTAAAACTCATCATCAGTTTCTGGACCCAAACACCCACATTTTGGTGAGCCTGGGAGTCCTGAGCAGCAGAAAGGGGAAGAGAAGGGCTGGAAGTGGGAGGGTGAAGCAGGAGTGAGGAGCAGTTACAGGGTTGGCTGGAATGTTGCAGGATGGGGGATACCTACCGCATCCATTATAGCAAAAGGGATAACATAGGATATAGGGAGGAAATAGATTCTCTCTCTTATGGTTTTAAGACACTTAACACAGTGTGCATAGGGGTATTCGTTTTTTTGTGATGAAGTCTCAGCTATATACCAGTGGGAACTGGTGCATGGGAGCGACCACATCAAAAAGGCCAAATCAGAACATGACAATCAGCATCCACAGATACCAGATAATGTTTTCACCATACTCATAGATTCCAAGATCTGTTGTATTAATGTAGATGGAATATATGGGCCCAAAGAGAAAAAGGTGTTAACAACCCTGTTACTACCCAAAGTTCGAGGTTTAGCATATAGAAACTTCAGCCTGCTTAGTACCATGGCAAGCACAACTTTAAACATCTTTTTTAAACTTTTTATTAAAGATACAGAAAAAGAAGGAAAAACATTAAAACATATGAAATGTAAAGTTATTAAATAAGGCTTTTGTTTTAACAACATCTTTTGTTCCCACTGGCTGGGCGAAGTGTTTAAAAGGAACACACACACACACACCCCGAATCTGACAGTCATTCAGGTGATGTTGGTAGTCCATCGCTGACAATGATGATGATATTGTCTCAGTTCTCATCTATGGCTACGCATATGACTCTGAAGTCCGAACCTGATGCACAGAGTTGGCCGCACTGAAGGCATGGGAAGTCTATATCTATGATATTTGATGATGCAGTTCTGTGGCGCCTTTCACGTGCAGCGTAGAGATGATTTCCTCGATCCTGCTCAAACCTGTGGCATGCTGATCTGGTCAGAGACCGTCAAGTGAATCCTGTTCTGAGCCATTTGCTACAGTTCTTTAAGATTGATGCCAGCCCACTGTATGCCAGCTCTTCAGGTTATCTTTGAAGCGCTTATACTGATGACGCTTCTTTCTTTTGCCCTTCCTCAGCTCCCCATACAAGATCTGTTTTGGGAGATGGTGGTCTTCTATTCTGATAACCTGTTCGGTCCACCTAAGTTGTGCTCTCAGTAGCATTTCCTCAATTCTGGTTGTGTTTGCTCTTTCAAGGATCTTAATATTGATCACTCTATCCTGCCAGCAAATGGTCATTATTGAGCGGAGGAAATTGCACAAGCTGTTTAATGCGCTGTCTATAAAGAGTCCATGTCTCAGATCCATACAGAGAGATGTTAGAACCACTGCACTGTAGATCTTCAATTTGGTGGAGAGACGAATGTTGTGTTGGCTAGGGACTTTTGTTCGGAGTCGGCCAAGGGCCTGGCTGGCTTTACTAATTCTTGAGGAAATTTCCTTATCAAGGGAATCATCACTCAAGATGGTGCTGTCCAAATACTTGAACTGATCCACATTTTTCAGCTGTGTGCCTTGGATGAAGATGGCTGGTACTGGGGCATTGGAATGAGATGCTGGTTGTAAAAAGACCTGTGTCTTTCCAAGAGTGATAGTGAGGCCAAACAGCGGGGATGCTTCAGATGGTATTAAAGATGGTAATAACCATCTTCCTTGGGGAAAAGAGAAGAATTAGTTGAGATTCATAGATTCATAGACTCTAGGACTGGAAGGGACCTTGAGAGGTCATTGAGTCCAGTCCCCTGCCCTCAGATGGGCTGGAGCTGCTGTCACTGCCATTGTTAAAGGCCAATCCCATTTCCTAAAGACAGAACAAGACAAAAACACACAAAAGGGGAGAGAAATGAACAGCAAAGATAGAAAACACAGTTTCTGTCTCTGGCATTGACTCTCACTCACAACAACCTCACTGCTGGAGAAACTCAGGCCAAGCACATGATCCTATCAGCCACTCCAAGACCCGGCAAACTTTTCCCACTATCAGGCTGTTTAGGGCACTGCATCTGGCTGCCTCTTTCTTGTTACAGGCTTACTGCAGTGTTGCAAACTATACAGAAGGCAAAAGGGGAGGAATAGGAAAAAGAAAAATAAGGTGGGGAAAGAAAACACACAATAATGTGCGGGGGAGGCAAAGTGGGGAAGGAAGAGAAGACAAAGTCATGTTTGGGATTCAATCAAAGTCAGTGAAGGTGGCAATGGGTCTGGCCAGGTCTGATCAGGACATCTCAGGATAAGGAGGACAAAGGCCCAACAATGTAACAGTAGATCCCAGGGCCCCAGGAGACTGTGGGGGTGGCAGCCATGAAGCTCACTCCTTCCTGTTCTCCCAACTTTTAGTTAGCCAGAGTTGCAATTGTTTCTCTTCTTGATTTTGATTTACTCCAAAGTCTTTTCTCTTAGGACTCCGAAGGGAGTGATGGGAAGAATAGCCCATCCCCTCATTATTTTGTTCACCAATTAGATCTAATTTCTGATACACCAATTTTGGTTCATTAATTTTCAGTCACACACTTTTCTTGTTTACCAGGCATCACCTTAACACAGTCCTTTAGTTATTTCAGTAAGCCTTTTTCGTTTGTACTAATTCATTTTTTTCTGTCTCCTTTTTACACTTTTTCCCCATCAACATTTGTTGTTCTAGAGTATTGTGACATTTTGTGAACTTTCACTCACTGTTTACAGTTGAGATTACAGTTGTGATAATTGGGCCTACAAATTTACCCTAACAGCACCAGTTAGTTAATCTTTTATTTTTTAAGTATTTCTTTGCATAAGTTTTTACGTGTTGGAGTATTTTCACTTATGAAGTGTTATGTGCATAAAACTATATGTACTGAGCTATTTCCAGCCCATAAAGGTTTATGGGCATCTTCTTCTTCCCGTATCCTTGTCACAAACTAGATGTTTTACCAGAACTATGCACAAGCGATGGCTCTTTCCATTGCTGCAGCGAGGTTCTCCTTCATACAGGTCTCCCCAAAGAGTCGGCAAACGAGCAGGTGGTCCATGGTCTGCACCGCACTCACATATATTCGTGTCATTAGAGTAGCCCCATTTGATCATATTAGTCTTTGATCTACCAGTTTGCTTGCACAGGTGGTTCAGGCATTGTCGCATTGACCAGTCGGTGTGGTCCCCTCTGGGAAGGTCTTTCTCGGGTTCCACATCTATTTCAGTGCGTCCGACTGCACATAGTCTATCATTCAATAACCTCAGTTGTGCCTTGCCAGCTTTCGTATCCAAAGGCATAATACTGGTTATAAAACTCTTTCACGATTTAAGGAGTTTGATTACTCCTATATGACCATATAATGGATGCCTTGGATCTTCCATCTGCCATGACCTTTCCCTTTGGCTTGCTACCTTCCTCCTGAGATCAAGTGGTGCAATGCCAGCCAGTAAGTACAGGTTGTCCTTTGGTGTTGGCTTTACATATCCTGTTATTCCAGGACAACTGTTGGTTAGAATAGAGTCTAGTTTCTTAGCATGGACAGATTGTTTCCATACTGGATATGCATACTTTGCTAAGGAGTAGCACAAGGCAATAGCAGTGGTTCGCAAAGTAACTGAGGTGATCAATTTTCAGAGAATGCTGTTGATGGGTGCTAACTTTCCCTTTTGTCTTCTCTACATGTACTTTGAGGAAAAGTGTCCAGTCCAATGTCATCCCCAGGTAGACGGGGTTTGGGTGATCAGCCAGTGGGATTCCATCCCAGGTGATGTTTAGTTTCCGCTTGGCTTCTCGATGGTGTAGGTGAAAGGCTGTCACCTATGTCTTGTTGACGCGAAGCTGGTTCTTCTAATTCTCTATCGCCTCTCACCTCATATCGAACAGCATCTAATACCGAACAAGCCAGATTTAGATCAGGCAAGTCCTGTACTGGCCAAATATTAAATATCACTCAGCACAGAGAAGATGGACTTGAGAGAGGGATGATAACAGGCACTATGTTCATAGATCAGTGGCATACGATACAGTCAACCACCAAAACTTGCTTGCCAAAGTCTACAATATGACACACAATGACTGCCTAGTGCAGCTCATCCAATCTCTTCTGGAGAACTGGAGAACAGATGTTTTTACGTAAAACTGTGCAAAAAACAGACCCACTGGAGACGACAACGAAATGACCTCCCACAGGGCAGTGTGTTGGAACCAATCCTCTTCAACAGATATACCAATCACCAGCCCATACAGAGCAATACGCGGAGCTTTATATTTGCTGATGATCTATGCATTACGTCAGAGGAGAAGGATTTTGCTGCTCTCGAGAACAGATGACGTACACTGAGCAACCTCTCAATTTATTACAATAAGAACCTGCTTTGTGCTAACCCGACCAAGACACAGGTGACGGCCTTTATGGGCATAATTCGACATGTGATAAAAAACCTTCCGTTTATAACATCACATGCCCCAAAACAACTCAGAAGTATCATATGGACTGGGTCTGCTGAGCTTATACGGTGTGTAGTTTCCTTTGAGGATTTGAGAAGCATCACATGACTTGGTCAGAAGGGAGGGGGATGTAGAGCAGGGACCCTACTCTCGATTAGCAAGAGAAGAACTCGGACCGTCAGGACACATATTATTGTGCTGAAGTTCAACATTTTC